AAAAGACAATAATGCTAGGAAAGGTGGAGGGAAGTAGAAAGAAAGGAAAAGATTATTATGTTAATTGAATTAGTAAACCATAACCAATAAAAAGGAAAAAATCCTTTGTAGTTGTCCCATAGTTTCTGAATGGCAAGGATTAAATATTTATGCAAGACATGGAAAATGATCAGTAAGTTCTGAAACATGTAATTGTAATCATATTACAGATAAACCATACTATCTGTGTAATTCCTCCTGGGCCACTAAACAATGTCATACAATCCTCCTCTCCATAGACTTTTAAAATTTTTCTCTATGACCTCTTAATACTGAGCTCAATCTATGAAAAGGTTTAGGTTTTCCAAACGCAAGAGACTTCTCTTTTTTTCCCAAAATCCAAAACACCTAGAACCTTTACCTGAAATGTATGTTGTATTATGAGCAGAATTATGACATGCACTGCCTTTCTAAAAACATGGGATTTTGTTTGGGATGTCTTAAATTATATTTGAAGTGTCCTTCAAGAATAGAAGTTAGTGAAGAAAAGCTAACCAATGGATGCTGGGCCAAAAGGAAGTTATTCTTGCCCAAATAGATTGCTAGACAGGTTTTTCTGCTAAAATGAGAGGAAATAGAGATTAACCAGTTAAGAAGAAGTATCATAATCCTGATCCAAGGACATTTGATCTACCCAACTGTCATGGAAAAACACTGATGACGGAGCTGAGAAAATGTTTTGAATTCTAGGAGTTGGTCCAAAACTAGATCATACTCCCAGCCACATTTGAGTTAAGTGACAGTTTTGCTCTGTTTGAATCAAAGGCTTAGGAAAGAAAGAAAACAGAATTGAGGAGGCATAATAGAAGTGTATAAAAAGATAAAAAGATACATGATATGGAGAAAATAGATAGGGAGACATTTTTCTCACTGTCTCATAATACTAGAACCCTGGGGTCAACCACTTAAAGCTGAATAGTGGGAGTTTCTTTGCACAGTACATCATTAAGGTCTGGAAATCACTGTCATGAGGAGTAGTGGCAGCTGATAGCTTAGACAGATTTAAAAGAGGACTAGTCAAAATAATGGAAGTTGAGGCTGTCACTGACTCGTAGTCAGAATATCTGTACATTAGTTCCACTGTCAAGAGACACTGTAGGCCTAATCAGACTGCCAGAAATAGTGCACATTAAATTGAGGCACTGCCCTGGCTCAGTGCTAGGGAATCATGGGAATTGTATTTTTTTCTGAGACTTTGAGCCTTCTCTGTCAGAGAGCTCTAGTGCCACAATAAATTACAGTTCCCATGATTCCCTAGCACTGAGCCAGGGCAGTGTCCCAATTTAATGTGCACTATTTCTGGCAGTCTGCTTAGGCCCCGAGTCTCTGTATGTCATTTGCCAGGGCACCCTAGATGGTGAGCACAGTTCCCTTCAGGCCTGCTAAGTGAGATTTCCTAAGTGGACTGTGAGAACAGAATGGTGGAGTAGGTAGGTCTTCAAAAAAGTCAGTCTAAATAGGAGATAAACAACCAGTCCTATGCAAATATTATTTGCAGATATTTAACCATGAACCAAATGAGTTTTTTTGTGTATTTTGTGCCTTCAAGTTGTCTCTGACTTACGGCAACCCTTAGGTGATTCTGTCAGGGGGTTTCCTGGGGCTGAGAGTGTGTGACTTGTCCAGGTCATCCAGTGGGTTTCCATGACCAGGTGGGGAATTGGGCCCTGATCTTCAGAGATGTAGTCCTATGCACAAACCACTACACGTTGAATTCTTATATGGAACTAAATCAGTATTGCTCCTTTAGATATTTACAGAATTCCTTCAGAATTCTTCAGAGGGGCCATATATAAAGAAGTCTGAAGTCTATTATACAAAAAGGCCTGACTGTGGCTATTGTAGGTTGCATGAGAGTAACCCTGGTCTGGAGCATTTCAGGAGTGACACATGTTTTGAGGTAGACCCCAAAAGAAATGGAGAAAAGATTGGCTGGTGTTGCCAACCTTCAAACAGATTTTGCTTTAAATCTTTCTGGCCACAAAAGCTGAAACTTTATAGGAAGTCCTTTGTAGTGTTTAAGCATGCATGTCTAGATGATTTAGAGTGTTACTTATACCTGTTTTTTTCTTTTTCCATTAGAAAGGATATAGCCAGACCACCCAAGTAGTGCTGCATATTAGTACATGGTCTACTTTCCTTGCACTTGCATCCAGAATAAGTATTTAAATGCCTACAAAGTAAAAACTGCTGAAAGTTCTCTTGTAACACTATTTGGGCGTGTGTACATGCCTTTGTGTGTGTGGTATGAATCAAAGAATCTCAGTTGAAATGTGTTCCTCCACAAAAACTCATTTGGTTCGTGGTTAAATATCTGCAAATAATATTTGCATAGGACTGGTTGTTTATCTCCTATTTAGACTGACTTTTATGTAAGCCGAGATACCAAGGTCTCTGCAATAGAACTGCAAAGGGGTTGTTGTTGTTGTTGTTGTGTGTCATCAAGTCGTAAGATGAATTTATAGAGTTTTCTTGTTAAGTTTCTTCAGAGGGGGTTTGCCACTGCCATCCTCTGAGGCTGAGAGTGTGACTTGCCCAAGTTGGGTTTACATGGCCAAGCCAGGATTCAAACCCTGGTCTCGCAGTATCCTAGTCCAACTCTCAAACCACTACACCATGCTAATGATCACAGGATAAGAACAGGAAAGGAAAATTCTAGTCTGCTCCCATGGGAGTGTAGAAAATCCTCTGTCACAGTATTCCAGTCTCTTATAGGTGTTTAAAGAATATCCACCATCTTTCTGCTGAGCAGCGTGTCATATCAAGAAGATCTTCCTCATGTTTATTCTGAAATGTTTTACAGATACTTGTAATTTGAACTCAATTTCATGTAATTTGGTGGGGGCCCTATCCTCTGGAACAGCAGAAAACAAATGTGCTAACTTGTCGGATTGTTCAGGGACTGGTTTGCTGACAAATGGTTCAACATGAATTTGCAATAAATATGGGGAGGCAACAGCAGTTTGTGCATTTCAGCACAGATTTTACAGGGAAAAAATCTGAGGGAACTGTTTGTCTATTTTGCATTTGATATTCTCTCCCAACACTACTTGAAAAAAAACATTTATTGCATGCTTCTCTTTTACAAACATTGATTCTCTAAGGCTTGAACCATAAAATATATAAGTAAATATTTA